GTCATGTGATTCAACATGAACTTCTCTTAACATCATAACTTAAATGTAGAATGAAATGTAGAGAAATGTTTCAATTCTTCGTTACAATTGTTGCATAATTATATCATTCTGAATAATGACAACAAGTTTCAGATTGCATGAACTGGCGGATTTTTTTTTATATTAAACAGAAAATCACTGCCATGTTGAATTTGATAATTCAACACAAAAACAACACTTATCACTAAAACCACAACCTTGGAAACAACCCCTGAACTAATGTAATTCGCCAAAGCAAACAGTACAATGTAAGAGATGAAAGAGTACCAAAACCCCAAATAACATTGTGATCGTCTCTTAGACCAGTATCATACACCCAAACCCCCCTTTTTATGTCCGAGTCAGAATTAAGCACTGCCTCGTAAATTGGTCTAGATCTGTATCTATCATGGAAATCGTGATATTAGGAGAATGTATTATCTGTGGTGTTTTCTAAATGGGTCATATTGACAAATCTTTCAAATAACATTCTGTTGGATTTTTATCAACATTTCATGAAATGGTCTTTAGAACCCAAGCAGCTTCAGAAACCAGAGCATAATTTAAGACTAAAATGATTCCAACGTATGCAGAACCTAAAGTAACCAGGAACTTCTACAAATATTGTTGACGATACTGACCAGGAGCCAGCTTCCATTCTCAGGGACTGGCCTGACCTCGAGTGGGGACGGACTTCGATGGGTCTTGGTCTGAGATTCGTACAGTTCACTGTCTGAGGTGTAGCCTCTCTCCTGGTAGCCGTCATTCAGACTAGACCCGCTGGGCACCTCACTATCACTCTGGGCACCTACACAATAAACTTACTGATGTATCTTCAGCAAAACTTATCTTAAAGCTAACGCGATCAATGTCTGTTCGAAATAGACAAATTTTGTGGTTGTGCGACTGATTAATTGAAATTCTGGTTCATCCAAGAATTTTACAGGGTCACACTCTCTAATTTTTGTTCTTGGAACATTTCTCGGGTTTAATTTTCCAACAATAATGTTGAAATTAATAGTTTTTAGTAATCATCTTTCACGAGGGAACTAATTTTCTGAGAGGTTTGTATTTGCATTTACATGGAGAAAATAGTGACTGATGGTATGAACCTCAGGGGAAGGCATTCCTGCAGGCAGTACATGAAGAGTTAAAAATAATTTTAACTGGTACAGAAGCTTAATACTATCTTTATGTATGTACATAATTACAATCAGAGCAGATCTATTAACATATAATCTGATATAAAGGGTTTGAATGATGATTATTGCATTTAATTTTTTGAAGCATCATATCTTATCAAATTATTTTTACTAATTTTTGTGCAAAAATAAAAGCCATCATACAAAACCTACATATACCTACCAGCATCTGAGAGAGCATCTGGGAGTTCCTGTTCTGTGTGTGTCTGTAGTATGGGCGGAGGGTTGGCCCCAGCCCCTACCACCTCTAGAAGCATAAAGAGTGTGAACCAATCCTGGGCCGTGCGTATATTGGCAGCGTTAGTCCGTAACAACTCGTGCAGGGCAAACGAAACTTGCCGTGCCACATTGTGAATAACGCTAGGTTTCATCATTAAGAGTATACGTAGGGAAGTTAAAACTTGTGATGCGATATCCTCGCGGCGTAAAAGTCTGATCGATAATCGGAGAAGTCCCACGACCGCTCGCTCCACTAGGAACGTGTGATCACCTGCATTCACAGTAAGGTTGTAGATATGGTCTCGAACTGCCTGCCAAACTGGTGTAACTCTATCTCTGCAGTTAAAATCAACAAGCGTCAGAATAAATTTATCACACTTCAAGAAAAATTTCTATTATGAGGTATCCATACCCCCACCACCACCAGAATATCAAGGAAGGGATTTCTGAGTTGTTTTTTATCAACACCATTAATAAACATTAAATTTGAACTTTAACTTTTATTTCACATCAAGGTTATCATAGTGTTTTATGGTTGGTCATATTTTTTTGACCAGAAATGCTCCGAAAACCAAACTTACCTGTTTTGCAGCACAACTTTGACAAGAAGTTCAAGGAAAAAGACGGATGCATCTTCATCAAACACAGTTCCCATGGAATGGTGGGCCTCTGGACCCTGGGAGGCGAATATCGTAGCCTAGAGAAACACAAACAGAAAGAGTTAGGCTTATGCATACATTTTTCAAAGTATACTGAAGGCAAAAAGGAGGTCCAGAGGGTCTATATATGTATTGCTCACCTGTTTTTGTAGGTTTCATAGCAAAATGATATTTTAATTATCAGCAATATTGCAAATATTCCCCATTTTGGGCTCTTTCTCACAGTCCTAAAGGAGACAACACCATTCATTATGTAACATTTGGTTGCCAGCTGGTCCCAAAGATGTTTCATAGCAAATTTGGTTGAAATTGGAAGAATTATTTTGGAGGAGTAGTTTTTTATATACTTACAATACCAAATACCACAATTATCACCTTTTTGGTCTACCCCATGAAGTTCTTCATTTTTTCTTTTACATAATAGTTCATTGTCATGAACGTAGTCAATCCCTTTGTTTAATCCCGTAAACGTTCAAGTGTTTGCCTCTTCCTGCCCAGTAATACAGCCTATATTCCCCCTACCTTGATTAGTTCCTGTAGTGAGTC